CCCCAAAACCCCAAAACCCCTTACTCCTAGAATCAAATTAATCTAGAATAAATAAAATATTTTAAATTAATTGAATATATAAATGATATACTTTTAAAAAAAAGTACATTTTTTAATTATAATTAAATAACTATTGAAGTTTTAACTCATCTGCGAACTTGCTTTTCTTTAGAATTTTAACACACTCTGCATCTTGTTAAATTATTATATGTATTGCAAGATGAGCATTACCATGGCAATAAACTAGGATCATCAGTATGGGGGTTATTGTTTCCGTAAGAATCTACTCTTACATCATATTTATTACTAACTAAATTTATCTATCTCCTTTGAACGGTACCTATCTATTGATTACTCACACCTAAATTTTATCCTTGATTATTGAATATACACTAATCGCATAGAGTGTTCTTTTTTCCAGTATACTAATTGCATTATTTACAGTACAGAGTTTTTGGAATAGTTTTAGACTTACATCTTAAGCACATTTGTAAATTTAGGGAATAAAAATCAGTTTTGCATTAATCACAGATACAATATCCAGTTTGATTCAATGAACCTGATTCCAAATTTGTTCTATTATATTATTACTGCAGCGAATGTTTTCTATTATCATTTTGAAGGCTTTGATGCTATGAAGATTATTCCTAATATTATAGATTTCCTAATTCTCTTGAAACATTAGTTGAGCTTCTTAAATTGGCTCGTTGCTCTTAAGAATTCATTTCCTATTCTTAAATTGATTAACAATAAAGGCACATCCTAGACGACCGATTAAAAGTTTATCTTTTGCAATTAGCGCAATGCCCATAATTCTCATAGTTTCCTAGCACATTCCTCTCTTGCTCCTATTATTAATCTACTCTGCCATGTCTATTGACATTTTATTAGCTATTGTGATTCATTCTTTCAAGAAAAGAGGATTAATGAGGATTGGGAGTTGTATTATCTTATCTATTGAGATTGCTTCTGTTTTAGTTTGGATAAGATTAGCTAGAATGAGAGCTATCATATTCTTTTATAATCAACCTTATCATTTCATTTTGTTTATCGCAACCTAAAATATTTCTTTAAATTATATAAGCTTACTTTGACAATAAGAGGAGCTAATATCTTCATAAATAATAATATTGAGTTATTCACAATATTCACATTACCATTCAATCTCAGTCATTTTATTAACATTTTGTTCCTAATTAGAATTTTCCTCTGATTGTATTCCACTAGATTTTTTTACATTAGAGTCTTAATCCTCATTTTCTAACTTTATAACAAGTATTTACATTTAATTATTTTCCTACTGGTTTAAATTTTTTGTTTCCATATTCTGTGATTGAATTTAATTTTCGTTACTCTTCATGCTCTGTTTTACAATTTCTTATTATTATTAATTTTCAATTTTTACCTCTAGATTGTCGATTTAATCAATTTTCATATTCTCATCTTCATCACTGTTTTCCTCTTCATTATACACCTCTTCTATATTAGTTTAACTCTTTGAATCCTCATTGTCATTAGATTTAATATCGAAATTCGAGATTTTAAATTCATCATCAAAGATCCTTAGCAACTAATCTATCACATCTTTTTCGACTTAAGGGCTCACTTACACTGTAAAGTCTCTCAAAGTATTTTGTTGGCAGCATTTATAACAGTATTCCTGATGAAGCATCAATTTGAAATTACACTTATAGTTCAAGCAGTTATATAGATAAACTCCCTCCTTATGATATTTCAATTTGAGATTCTTAAATAATTATTGCTAAGTATTTAGTCTTTATTCATTCTCTTCATTAATTTTCAACTTCATCTCAAGCTTGTCTTTTTTGAAATCTTCAGTTACTTATTTTTCCTCACTCTTGCTATGAGTTGTTTTTTCTTTTTTGAATGATTGTAATAAAAGCTTCTGTTAAATATAAACATCTTTATCTACATCATCAAAACTATCTATTTCTCTCTAGTATGATAAAATCTTTCGCTCCAGATACTTTAATTCAAATTTCTCAATTTTAATATCTTCTCTCGACCTGCTATTTCCAAATATTGTATCCCTATTGAACTGCTAATAGAAAATAAGTGTTGGTTTCATTCTCAGCAATGAGCATTCATCAATAACATTTTCCCATTTTTAAACCTTTCTAACCTATTCATCGTTAAACATGATCCATCCAAGATCATTATAACTTCTGTAGGTATTTTTGCTTAGACTCAAATTATCATCAGGTAAATTTCTAAAGCAAGCCAGATAATGAGCCCCTAGAAAGCATATAAAGCCTTTTAGCAAGTATTTTCTATATATGTTAAACTATAAATAAATAATGAATACGTGTAAGTGGTGACTTATTCCTCAAATAACTCCCTGATATCAAAATAATCTGGAAAGCTAACAAGTATTTTCATAATATCCTCTGGCTTAGCTTCCTCCTAATTCCAATTCAAATTCATACTCAATACTCTCGGACATGGCTTATTAATATAAACTTTCGTTTCTGTTCTCTTTAGTTTGCAATTTTAATTTAAGCAGAATTCTATTTCATCTTACTATGTAGCAATTATGTGAAAAAGTTTACTTACTATGAATAAGCTAGCATACTGAATAAACCTTCCTTATATACTAAGAAGAGCTGAATCAGCATAAGAAGTAGAGTATATACCTAGTCTTTGCTAATTTTACTTATGTGCAGAAATATCCTACTAGATTTTCTCAAGTATAAATTGGGGACTGACAATCTGAATGAAGCTATTTACATCTGATTTTTATTTAATCACCAATTCTCCACACTAACATATTCTAGTCATCAAAGTATTAATTTAGAAGCATTAATGAATAAAGCAGTCTTGGATTTCGCATTTATCATCAAAGTCTAGCTTATTCTTGTCCTATTTTGATTATCCTTAACTTGGAGTGTTTGAGCTGTGGATCAGACATAGTATGTTATAAAATGCTTCTGAAGCATCAGCTTTATCTGTTAAGTCAAACTTCTAATCCTCATAGAATAACTTGAATAGTTCTGTTCTAACTGCAACAGGATTGAAGACTTAGATCTTTTGCAGACTGTTTTCCTAAGTATTTATAATTCCGATAAAAAGGTACTATAATAGATTTTGAGAGATGAAATTATAGATACCTTGAATGAGTTTATGAAATCTTAAATTATAGGCTCATCTCTTTCATCTATAGAGCCAAATGTTTCCTCTGAAAGGAGATATTTTGGCAAGCCTGAGTTTTTGGTCAAATTCCAGATGCTCTATAAGACTGAATTGAGATAGCAATTATTGTGCCCAGGAGGATTCTCTAACCCAAAAAACTGAATATTTTCCTATTTTTCCTCTTTGAAATTATTGAGATTCATTCCACGATAATTCTACATGTCCTCTCTGCCTCTGACTGGTGGACTATAGTGTTAGAAAGATTATGGAGTGATTTTGGTGACCTAAATTTGATTCTAATTGATACTCTGCTTCCTCTACTTGGTATTGATTGATTATGAGAATGGAGCAATATAGATATCATCAATATCTTCATCTTTTTGTTTACCCTTAAGAATTTTTTAATCAGATTTGAATGAGTTCAGTAATTATTATCGTGGAGCTTAGGAAGATGCCCTTCCATTTTATTGGCTTTAGATATATCTTGGCACATTGCTATAAATAGGGGTTTAGTCATTTTTCACATTATCAATTCTCTAATTTTTGTTGGACTGATGAATTTCGAATTATTCTGGTATTAATTGCTATATGGCCTTTACTGGCTAAGCTTTCATTAAACCGCCTTTAGGTGGTTTAGAAGGTGATCCTATCAATTTAATCTACTTTGAACTTAATTTAGAACAGCTGCAAATATATTTGTTGCAATTTTTGCATTTTGATGTTGACATTTAGCAAATATTTTATTTTTAATTGAAAATATATAAATAACATCATTCCAATAGTTACTTCGGAGCAAGTCGGGGTTTTGGGGTTTTGGGG